AAAGTCCCCATTGGATTTAAAATTTGGGATGGCGGGGGGAGGGGGTTGGGGAAGGAGCAGGGGGGGGCGGCGGGGAGGTTGCGGGACGCCGTCGGGGAGGTTGCGGGACGCCGGCGGGGACGTAGGGCGTGCTGCGGACGAGTGATTGGCAGCGTGAGGACGGGTACAGGAATCGTGTACCCGTACTGTAGATGCAAGGAAAGGAAAATTTATCGGCTTTTAGACGTCACCCTTTCTAACGTTATGAGCTCTCGTGCAGATCTCAACGAACGTCTCCGTCGTCTCCCCACACACCTCCACTACACCCCCCCACGCCCCCCCACTCCCTTCCCCCCCCCGGCCCACGCCCCACGCCCCAATTCCGCACCCCCACCCCGCACACTTCGGCCCCGCCCTCTGCGATGGCCTTCGTCCCCCCGCTCCTGGTACCGACGCGCGCGCCCTACGTACTGACGCAGTCGTCGTTCGCGGGTGCCGCGCTGCGTGCGGGCCCGCCGTCCCTGTGCCGGCAGCGGCGCCCGCCGCGCATGCTGTTCGGATTCGGGAGCAAGAACCGCAACGCGCCCGCCAAGGGTGGGCGGTCGTCCTCCGCGTCCAACCCGTACCGCGCGCTGGGCGTGTCCGAGGACGCCACGTACGACGACGTCGACGCTGCCGTCAAGCGCCTCTCCATCAAGTACGCAGACGACCGAAAGAAGCTCATGATGCTCGACGTGTACAAGGACAAGATTTTCGAGGACAAGCTGCAGCAGCGTATGTCGGGCTCGCTCATGCCCAAGATTAGGGACAGCCCGTACGACAGGCCCCCCGTCAAGAAGAAGAGGTTCGTCCTCCCGAGCTGGCTGCAGGGCATTGTCAAGCTCCCGGATTTCAAGTATACCAAGAGGACCGCCATTATCATGGGCATCTTCGTCGTCCTGGGCTTTGTCACCCCGACCCTGGCCGGGTCCTGCATGGCTATGGCTTTCATTGCCGCCGCGGGCTTCCTGTATAACCGCGGCCTGCCAGAACCCGTCCGAGATGACTATGGCGGTTATGGGGAGGTCCGCCCGGTGAAGCATCGTATTGTTCTTAAGACCCTCCTTATTAATTTGGGTGTTGCTGCCGTATTCTTTGGGCTGGCCCAATTGTATATGCTCTACTTGCCGCTCCCGCTGTGGTGCCCGCCGGATGCCTTTGTCAATGCTGCCGTCGTTATTGGTTTGTGGATGTCTTGTTTGCTCTTTATCGCCCAGGACCCAGAGGACCTCTACTAGAGGGAAACACTAACCGTTTTATTTGATGCATTCTTATCGATTAAAACCATCTATACTTCCTCCTATTCCACGTCCACTCATGTGTGACATTCCCCACACCAAAAAACCCTTCTACCACTCTCGCCCCTCTGCCTCTATTCCCACGCGATATCCGTATCCCCACGATCCTGAAGATACTTCGACACCGCCGTGACGTCCTTATCTCCCCTTCCGGAGCAGTTGAGCACCACTTTTGGCGACCCTTCCAACTCGGGGCACAGCTTCTCCAAATACGCGATCGCATGCGCAGTCTCCAGCGCCGGGATGATCCCTTCCTCTCTCGTCAGCAACTTAAACCCATCCAGCGCCTCATCATCCGTCACCGAGACATACTCGGCCCTCCCACTTGCTTTGAAAGTCCACTTGACAATATGGATTCAAGACGGCCTTACAGGTCGCCGAAGAGCAACGGATGGGATCATATGGCATCCAGCGTCTGCAGCTGATAGCTCATCGCGCCATGCAGCACGCCGAGCTTCCCCTTTGTCAGCGTCGCGGCGTGTTCTTGCGTATCCACGCCCTTACCAGCCGCCTCGACGCCGATTAACCTCACGCCCATGTCGGCCTTCCAGTCATCGAACAGGCCCATCGCATTCGATCCGCCCCCTACACAAGCCAGCAACACATCCGGCTTCCCGCCCCACTTCTCCATCGCCTGCCACCTCACCTCCTTCCCGATGCAGCTATGAAAGTCGCGCACCATCATCGGGTACGGATGCGGGCCGGCCACGCTGCCCACAATGTAATGCGTCTCGACCGGGTACGTAACCCAGTCCCTAATCGCCGCCGACAGCGCCTCCGTGAGCGTGCCCTTCCCGTCGCTCACCGGCTTGACCTCGGCGCCCAGCAGCCTCATCCTGAAGACGTTGAGCTTCTGGCGCTCCATATCCTTGACGCCCATGAAGACAACGCACTGCAGGCCGAAGCGCGCGCACACGGTCGCCGTGGCCACGCCGTGCTGGCCGGCGCCCGTCTCGGCGATGATCCTCGTCTTGCCCAGGCGGCGCGCGAGCAGGACCTGCGCGAGCGAGTTGTTGATCTTGTGCGCGCCCGTGTGCGTCAGGTCCTCGCGCTTAAGGTAGATCTGCGGGCCGGTGCCGTCTTCGCGGGCGTAGCGCTCCGTGAGGCGCTCCGCAAAGTACAGCGGCGTGGCGCGACCTACGTAGTCCTTGAGAAGCCCCGCTAGCTCGGCCTGGAAGGAGGGGTCGTCCTTGATGGACATGTAGCCCGCGTAGAGCTCCTCGAGGTTTTGCATCAGCGTCTCCGGCACAAATTGGCCACCGAAGCGGCCGAAGTGGCCGGTGGCGTCGGGCTTTTCGGGGGAGAAGTGGGTGTCGATGATCTCTGTCGGGTCCGCGAGCACCATGTGTGTGGTGATGGTGGGGGTGGTGGTGCGGCGAATGGCGGGGCGACGCACGGAGAGGAGGGGGGCGGTGCGATGGGTGCGCACGCCCAGGAAGGGGCTCGCGGCGAAGGCGGGGGGCGTCATGAAGGGGATAAGTGCCGGGGGGAAGGGAAGGAGGGAGGGGAGATGTGCGAGGCGCGAGGTCGGTAGGGGGAGTGTGGAGCGGGGAGATTGAGACGACGGTCGGCGGGGTAGATACACGGCTGCACGGCTGCACGGCTGCACTGTGTAGTGTTTTTGCAGTGTTTGTGGAGGAGCACAAGAGGGACGACACGGAGGAATTAAACGGAGGGCGCGGTGGAAGCCGTTTTTGATCGGAAAGAAAAAAAGCAGCGGACGTTGTCGCGTCTCTTTACTTGTTCTTGTTCTTCTTTACATACATGTATTTGAGGGATCAAGGCTAACTCCGCCTTGAACCGAAGAGCCCTTTTAGTTCGGGCTCTCCTTCCGCAACAAGGTACCCCAATATTTGGGAGTGGTTTCTCTAAATTTCTAGTTCGCCAGTCTACGCGTTCTGTGAAATTCCCTCTGCCCAGCTGAAGAATTCCTCTGAGAGGCTGGAACATGGCCGAGCATCCAGTGTAGAGCTGGTTCAGGACAACTTTCGCCATTCGCCGTGACCAGGCCCCGCGCATAGTAGTCGGCAAGTCCTCGATTTCTCTGCATTCTTCCTACGCGCTCCTCGAAGTCTCTTTACTTGACCTGCACTAACTCACATTCGACCAGCCGTACGGTTCTCTTCTCCTTGAGCGACTTTGCCGCCGCCATCGCTGCCACAATACTAGCGCGCCCGTCCTTACCGGTGACCGGCGCCGGCTTATCATCTCTAATCATATCTACAAACGTCTCCATAATCCCCGCGTACGCGTCCTTGTACCGGTCCATAAAGAACGAGTACGGCAAACCCGTAGCCAAGCCGTTCTCCCCGCACACCTGCACGGTATCCGGAGCCTTGTTCTCGCTGCGAATCACGCCCTTGCTGCCGAACACCTCGACGCGCTGGTCGTACCCGTACGCGCACCGGCGCGAGTTGTCAATGGTACCGAAGCTGCCGTCGGACATCTGCAGCACGGTGATAACGGTGTCGATGTCGCCCGCCGCCTGCGCGGCCTCCTCAAACGCGTTGCCCGTGACGTACACGCTCTCGATCTCGGCGCCCGTGACGAAGCGCGCGATGTCCCAGTCGTGCGACGTCATGTCCAGGAAGATGCCGCCCGACTGCGCGAGGTAGGCGGCCGGCGGCGGCGCGGGGTCGCGCGACACGATGTGGAACATGCGGACCTCGCCGACGGCGCCGGCCTGGACCTGCTGGCGGACCTTGATAAAGTTGGAGTCGAAGCGGCGCTGGAAGCCGACGAGCAGGCGGACGTCGTTCATCTCGACGGCCTTGAGGCAGCGGTCGATGGTGGCGAGGTCGTTGGAGATGGGCTTCTCGCAGAAGATGTCCTTGCCCGCCTCGGCGCTGCGGATGATCTGGTCGGCGTGGAACGGCGTGGGCGACCCGATGACGATGCCGCGCACGCGGTCGTTGGCCAGCATGTCCTCCCACCGCGGGGTCCACGTCGTGGAGAAGTCGGCCTCCACCTGCCGCCCGAACTTTTCGAACGGGTCCGCCACCATCTCCAGCGACGCAGACTGCAGGGCGGAAATGGTGCGCGCGTGCACCTGCCCGATGCGCCCGCACCCGATCACGCCCACGCCGACCGTGCCGTCGGGCGAGGCGGACGCGCGCGGGACGCGGCGTGCCGGAGACGTGGGAGAGATGCGCGAGGACGGGCGGCGGGAGGGCAGCGCGGGGGTGAAACGCGACGCGGACGGCGCGGCGGCCGGGGCAAAGGCGTTGACGAAGGCAGTCATGTCTGAGGGTGGTGACGGTGGCGGACGGGGGGCGGAGGTGGTGGCGGAGTGGGGAGGGTGGGGTGGGGGAGGGGACGGGCGTATGTATGTGGAGGCGGGAGGACGTTGTTAAGGAGGCGGGTCGAGGTGTCTAGTTGTAAGTCGAGAATAGATAGAATAGATAGAAAGGAGGACGGTATCTAACGGGATGTGACTGGCGTCGCATCATTTCCACGAGCGGGTGAGAATGGACGGCGGCGTCCCGGTGTGATTCGCGGAAATCCGCACTAGCATAAACCCTACCGCCGCCCGCGCGCATGTGCTCTCGAGTGCCCCCGTCCGCAAAAACTTGCGGTATGACCGGCTCCCGCCGGTTTGCGCAACGCCGTCCCCGTCGAACGCGCCAGAGCGCCGCCGCCGCGCACGCTTGCGTGTGCAACGCAACGAGGCAACACCACATCCCCCACGCCATCACGCCGCCGCCGCGCACGCCGCCGCCGCGCACGCTGGCGTGTGTGACGCAACGAAGCAACGCCACATCCCCTCTTGCCCGCCGTCTACATCTAAGCACTATGCTGCACATAAATATATCTCTTCGCTGCACGCACCATGCATCCCCTTGCTCCGGGAGACCCCTTTTGCGCGCATCTCAACTTCTCAAAGAAGCTACAAGTTGGACACTTAACTACGTGTACCTCCATTTGAGAAACTACCAAGGGTACAGTACCAATGTTGCGGCCTCCGACACGCACTTCTTCCTCTCCCTACTCTACAGTGTAGAGTAGGGAGAGGAAGAAGTGTGTAGAGTCTACACATACACGTATGTAACATAGAAAGGAGAGCGTACAATTTTGTACGCACTGGCAAAGCGCCGCTTGCCCGCGCCGGTTTACCGGGGGCGAGTACCTTCGTACAAGCCGTTCCGTACCGCCTCCCATCACCAGTCAAGCAACACTTGCCCGGCGCATAACAGCCAAGCCGCAAGTCGCAATGGCCACGGCCAAGCCGTGGCTTGTCGAGAGGCCCCCAGCAAGGAAAGCTAAAAACCGGCCGTTTGTACACCTCCGCCGCCGCCACGCACCTTCCACGTCCTGCTCAGCCTGTCCCCCATGCCCGCGCCCTCTCGCTACGCGCCGACCGCCGCGGCCGTCGCGGCCGCCACCGCGGCTGCCGTCGTCGCTGCCGCCGCGGCCACACTCGTCGCCCGCGCGCTCCGCCCACCCCCGCCGCCACCGCCGCCCCCAGTCCCGCCGCACACGCTGGCCGCGCTCTTGCGGAGCGCGCGCCACCCCGTGCCCAGCCCCGCGCCCCAGCGCAAGTCGCGCAAAGCCGCGCCCGACCTGCCCGACCCTGCGCCCACACGGAAGCCGCGTACGGCCACTTCCAAACCGCCAGACCCCACCAAATGCGAGATTGACGACGACGGCGGTAGCGGGAGCGGAAACGAAGACGAAGACCAAAGACAGAGACAGCAGCAAGCCCCCGTCCAAGCCGCTCAACCCTACGTCCCCACAGAAGCCGCGCAAGGCCAAGTCCAAACCGCCAGACCCCACTCCCAAGCCGCCCAATCCTGCGTCCCCCAAGAAGCCTTGCAAGCCGCCCAACCCTGCGTCCCCCAAGAAGCCTTGCAAGCCGCCCAACCCTGCGTCCTCAAAGAAGCCGTGCAAGCCGCCCAACCCTACGTCCCCAAAAAAGCCTTGCAAGCCCCCGTCCAAGCCGCTCAACCCTACGTCCCCACAGAAGCCGCGCAAAGCCATTTCCGAGCCAGCTGATAAGCCGCCCGAACCGGCGCCGCACACGTTCGCACTCCCCGCGTCGCTGCCCCGCGCGCCCCGCCCGTTGCCGGTAGGCTGGACGGTGTACTGGGACATCGAGAACGTGCCGGTGCCACGCGGCGTCACGGGGGAGACGGTGGTGCACGCGCTGCGCCGCCGCGTGTCGCAGCTGTCGCCGCAGTCGCGCGTGCTGCGCATCGTGTCCGTGGGCAATATCCTCCACCTGCCGGTAACGCTCCGCAACCAGCTGCAGGCGAACGGCGTGTCCTTGATGCACGTGGAAACGCGCGGAAGGAAAGACGCCGCGGACAAGGCCCTGATCACAGAGCTGTGTCTGCTCGCCAGCGAGCAGGACACGCCGTTTGGTGTCGTGCTCATGTCCGGCGACGCTGACTTTGCGTACGCGCTCGCCAGGATCAGGCTTCTTGGGTACACTACCGTTGTTGTCGCGAGCCAGAGGAGGGCGATGTGCTCTGAATTGCTCGAGTCCGTGGCGCACTTTGTCTGGGGGCTGAACGAGGACGTGCTCGATGTTTATGGCAGTGAGCCCGAGGCACTGGAGATGACGGGCGCTGGTGAAGTCGCTGTTTTAAGAAGGAGGGTAGACAAGCTGGCAGCACAGGTGTACGCGTTGAAGAAAGTGCGGATGAAGGATGACAGTTGGGAAGCTAAATCTATCGCGGGCGCGAATGGTGTGAAAAGCGCTGGTAACAAAAGCCAGCCCATGAAAGAAAAAACAAAGCAACCTCTGACTAAAGCTCTAGCCCGCCCTGCGCCTGACGCATGTGTGAGCAAAGCCACATCATTGGATGTCAACGCGTTTAGAAAGCTAGAACGTGACGCCAGCGTTGCTGAAGAGAAAATAGTGAGTGGGGATGACGGGTTTGTTGAAGCTTTTGTACTGCCAGACGTCGCTGATCCAGACCGCCCTGAGAGCGTCCAGGATGATGAGGAGGTAATGCCCATCCGGCTGCGTTCAACACAGGACTGGGAGTGTGTAATATTTCCCCGGAGAGTGTCACATTGGTTGCTCGAGAGGTGCGTCCGTTTACGCTGGTGCCTAGTGGTCGGGACAGCGTTTCTTGCTGTGAGCGCAATGTCCCTGTATTCAAAACTCCCTGTATCTCTACATACAGAGCATATAGTGGTCATTATCGCGGTCTTTTTTGGATGTTATCTTACATGTGAGAATAACAGATGAAGCTAGGGCCATTCCGCTACATACGTTTGCTCAAAGGGGCACAACTTGCTACCCCTGCGGATTCCAGTCTCGGTGTGTGCCTCTACAACATGGCTGTTGCGACGTTCTTGGGACATATTGCACATGACAAAAGGGCTGCCGTCGGACATGTATGTACACGTGTGTATGACAGCACATGGCAGGCTGGGAGAATTACTTGCTCGAAACGGCCGTCTTACCGCTGCGTAGAGACTCCTTGCGCAACGCGAGAATGGTTTCCAATGCAGATTCGGTTCCAAGCACGCCTCTCTGTTCTGTGAGAGTCCATGTCGGTTGGTGCTTCAATGCCTCAAGCACGGAAGGATGCGTGACGCCCGGCAAGAACGAGCGGCCGACCAAGGCACCAAGCTCGAGGTCGTTGTCATCGTCGAACAGAGCAATGGCATCCTTGGAATCAATACCGAGCGTCTGCAGGATGTGGCGAGCTGCGTTGGCTTTTCCCGACCCTTGTGGGTAGATGTCCCCCTTGCCCAAGTTGAAGGAACTCGCCAAGGCACGTTTTGGGCATTCGTTTTCAACGATAGCCTGAAACTGGGACGCAGTCTTGCCCTCCGACTTTTTGACATCAACGCGGATATTGGTCATGTAATCCCTGGCATCAATGTTCCAGCCGTCGTGGGCCAATTGGCGATACAGCTGCCACAGCGTGCCGTCCCTCACCTCCACGGGCGGCAAGTCGGGCAACAAGGACGACCTATCCAGGATGGGGCCGACCTCCGCCACGAAGCGATCGGTCCAGGCCGGATCGAGGACGCCTGCGGCAAGCTTGCGGCCGCCGTTCTCGAAGAACTCAAAGTCGGCTTGCGGCAGCAGCGGGCGTCGTCCGATGTATGTGGAGCTGCGGGCGCCCGTGATGATGACGAAGACGACGCCGGCGGCGCGCAGCTCCGCGATGAGGTGGCTCGTGCGCAGGGACATGTACGACTCGCCGCCCGTCTTGGAGCGCAGCGTGACGCACTCGCGCGCCTCGCCCGTGTGCTTGTACGTGACGGTGACCGTGGCCGACGCGGCGTCGCACGGCTTGATCGTCGCGTACTCCAGCAGCTCCTTCGGGTAGTGCACCAGCGTCCCGTCCAGGTCGGCGAACACGACGTTGGCGGCCGCGCCGCGCGCGGCGGACGCCATCGCGCTGCAGCGCCGCGGGCGCGGTCGGGCGCGGTGGCGCCGGGCTACCTTGAGCGCGCGGGCGGACGCGGGGACGCGGCGGGCAGGCGGCAGGTGGAGGAGCGGGGGAATTTTGGGCACTGGCGATGAGCACGCTTCGCAGTGGAAATGACGAGCCGGGGGCGATGCGGCGAAAGCGGGCATGGTCGGAGATATACGAGTGCCAGAGGGTGAGCTCGCGGTAGTCGCTTTTTGTGGGCGCAACTGTGTGGATGGATCGGAGGATCGGCAGGGCAAGGGGAGAGAAAAGAAAGTGGACTTTTTTTTTCTTTTTTTTTTGAGACCCGCGACGACCGCGGATTTCTTCACCGCCACGTCATCGCGTCCGTCGCATCGGCAGCGGGCAGCGCCTGACGTTAGGCGTTGACCACAGTTTCAGGCGGTCGCCGTCAAGGCTTTCTCCCCGTGTCGCGAGAAGGGTCTTAGCTCTGTTGTAAATACTTGTAGCGACACGCCGCCGGTTGTGCGCCGCAAAGTGTTTCGTCGAAGAAACGTTTCTTGCTGCAGAGTGCCTGCCCTCTTCATGGTCCGCCGCCTTCTGCCTGCCTGGCACGCAGAGAAGCTCCCAGTTCGTTGTGCTGTAAATGTAAACGCCCGCAACAGCACATGTTTACCCTTCGAAGGGTAGTACAGGACAAGGTTTCCCTGATACAGAACACGCGCTAGGTCTTGCCACTTCTCCCTCACGAGGACACGAGTGCGCCGGGAGGGTGCGGGGCGGCGAGCTGCAGGAGCCCGAACCCAGGAGCCAGGCATGCCTTGTGCTCGTGCCGTAAACCTTACCCTCTTGGTCCGTTTCTGTTTCCCTTTTACTTTCACTATCGTCTACCGCTACCTCCCCTTTCCACGATCATCACATCATCACACACCCCTTGCTCCAAACCCCCACGCCGCCCACGATCCCACCCGGCAGCTCGTACTGGCGCGTCGTGTGCGCGCGCTGTCCACCGCGCCGTCCACAGATTCCACCGACACACCGGGTGCGTGTTGCACGCTCTCCTCAGCATGCGCCGCCCGCGGGTGGGTGTTGCACGCTCTCCTCAGCACGCGCCGCCCCGGTGGGTGTTGCACACTCTTGATGTCAAGAGTGTCAACAGCTGTCAACAGCTTGTAGCGGTCTTCACGCCTTTATCATACTAGGAGAGGGTACAGTATGGCTATACGGGGGTCAAAATCGCACGTTTTCTTGGACAAGATTGTACGGCATTTCGGCGGCGGCAACGCGTCCGCGACGCATCTCGGTGATTGGATGTATGTGCGCCAGGGCCGCCGCGAGTCTCGCTGCCCGCCCCGCGCGCACCTCGGAACGGCGAGACTTCCCGTGCCGCTCCGTAAATTAGTTTAGTTTATGTACGCCCGCGCAGTCCGCTTGGGAGCGATTCCCGTTGCCATTGCCGTTCCCGAGAGTTGCAGGCCGTAGCGAGCAGGACAATTTTACGACCGACCTCATGCCATCACTATGCCGTCCGTTATCGACTCGACATATTTTGCGTATTCGGTACAAGCATTTCAACATTTTCTTCCACACTGCTCCCTCTACATACAGTACAAAAAACTATCACAACGATAGCACTTTCTACCTGTCCCCTCCCCCCTTCCGCGACTCTACCTCTACCCCAGCCCCGAACCCCCACTGCGCGTTGCTCAAAGTGCAGTGTTGGCCCTTAAAGGAAGGAAGGAAGGAAAGGCAGGAAATGTATCCACACCTATGAATAAACTAGTGCAAATGGCAACCTACAAGCTATAGCCATTCTTCTGGCTGGTCCAACGCGTTCCAACCGTCGTCCATGACGTCCATAAATGGATTTTGCATTGCGTCTTCTATACTCGGGGCACTTACGAGGGCTTTGAGGTTGGCGTTTTCATCTTGCAGCTCCTTTTGCCTCCACATTAGCTTCTGCCTTTTCATTTTCAGGTCCTCCAACTCACGCTTCTGCTTCTCTAGCCTCTCCTTCCTTTTCTGGTTGGACTTTTCCGCCGCCTGTCGGTTGCGCTGCTTCCTCTGAAACGCCGTCGTGCCCCTGTCCATATCGTCGATCCCCGCCCTGCGCCGCGTGTGCGACGGCCGGCTAGACGGCGATTCGCTGTGCTCGGACGACGCTATGCTGCCGTCGTGGTCCCCGACGATGGACATGGGCGAGCAGACGTCCATGCGGTCTGCAGTGGAGCAGTTGTCGCGCCTGCGCCGCTTGCGCTTGGACGAGTCCATGATGGCCAGGGACGACGAGACGGGCTTGTTACTGTTTAAGATGAAGAGGCGCGACGACGAGCGCGGGCTTAGGCCGAAGAGCGTGTTTGTGAGCGGGCTGTCGAAGGAGAATTGCACGTTCTTGCGCAGGTTAATCTTGAAGCGCTCGCGCACGGGAGACAGGCTCTTGCGCACGTCGCAGAACACGGGCACGCGGACCTGGTCGGTCATGCGGTTATTGGCGTACGACGTCTTGATGCAGACGCCAAAGTAGGCGCCGCGGAAGCGGCGGTACAGGGTGGCGATGTTGGTGAGCGGCATGGGGCCGCCCAAGAACGGGGCCGGGCGGGCGACCGGGCCCACGCCCGTGCACGGCTCCGGCAGGCCGGAGATGTGGTCGCCGTGGCCGCATAGGTGGCAGGCGCGGCGCTCGTAGAACGAGTTTCGGCGCAGCAGTTCAGTCGGGGGCTGGGCGTCGTGGGGCGGGGGCCTGAACATGAGGAGCTCGCGCACGCGCTCGCACTTGATGATGCTCTGGATCCAGCCGATGATCATGATGTCGTCGCCCCAGGCGGTGACGAAGACCTCGCCCGTGGCGTCCTCGATGGCAAACTTGCCGACGGGGAGCGGGGGGACGCGGAGCTCCTCCTCGGGGCGCTCGTACAGGACGTCGAGGTAGACGAGGCCGATGGTGACGCCGTTGATGCTCTGGAACGGGACCATGAGCCAGTGGCTGCTGACGGTGGGGGAAATCTTAATGGACGGGTCGTGCGGGTCGATGGGGTGCATGCGGAAGATGGTGGAGGACTCGATGGCGGCGTTCTCGAAGGCGTCGTTGCCCAGGGCCTCGACGAACGGGCGGGAGTACAGCCAGTCGCGCACGGCGCGGTTGCTCTCGGGCAGGCGGAAAATGGTGCGGTCCGAGCGCGAATTGAACATGGCCGGGATCGTGCCGCGGTCCAGCGTCAGGCCCGTGCGGCACACGGCCCACGACGGCGCGTCTGCGTCGACGACTAGCGTCGCCAGTGGGGCCGTGCGCTGCAGGTGGGGCGGCATGCGCAGGTGGGTCGTCGACATGCTGGCTGCGGTGGGGTTGGGGCGGGGGGAGGGGGGGGGAGGTTTGCGCCGGAGAGAGGATGCAGCCGGGGCGGACGGAAGAGAGGATACGGCAGGGGAGAACGGGAGAGTGGAAGCGGGGGACGCGGGGTGGTTGTGCGAGGTGTTTGTGCGAGGTGTTAAGTACAGAGTACAGAGGCGGGGGAGGTAGTGCGCGAGGAGCTGCTTCGGTGGAGCGCGCGCGTGGCGGAGGCCACGCGGGGTGTGACGAGTGGTTGGCGGTGGCAAAAAAGCAAAAAAGGGGCGAATTAGGGTGAGCCCGAGGCGCGCGTCAGAAATTTCGGGGCGCGGGCCAATGGCGTGCGTTTGGGCGCGCGCGCGCATGCAGGCGGAGAGTTGGCAGCCGGGGCGCTCGTTCTCCCGCACAGTTTCCCGCACTGGCAGGCGGCGAGATGCGCAGCTTCCGCGCGCGCGGCGCGGCGCGTGGTGAGCCGCGCGCGGGGGGGA